TGGAAAAAAGTAACATTTACAGAGATATTAATGTATTAAGCAGCTCTCCAACTTCTGTTAATTGATCACAGAGTTCTCATTAAGAATATTAATACTTGGGCTCCACCCCTAGAGAATGTGATTCACTAGTTCTAAGGCTCATCAGCCCAAATCACCCAAATGCGGATGACTTACAGACCACAGCTGAAAAAACAGCTAAATTCAGTAATTTTGGACACAGACCTAGTCCATGTCTTCACTGTGTACTTAGCAGGGCAAAAAGCTTCTACTGGCCTTGAGAAGACCCAGACAAAGAAGGGGTGATATTTGCCAAGGGTTTGGATGCGGGCTGTTAGGATTTATTGCTCATGCCAACTGTTGTCTGGACAAGTGCTACATTGTGCTGACCTTTACCTATAATGGACAGTAAGCATCAAGTATAACACAAGTGCAGGATTCATTTTTTTTCCTGAAGACCAGCCTCAGTACTCAACTCCCCTCCTCATGTTTCAGCACCATGGACAGCTCCATACACAGTGTTGTATGAGCGCTCTCTAAGGACTGGCAGATCAGTAGCTTACGGTTTTTGGGGAAGGTGAGAAAAATGAGCGCTGTCTTGGCCAAGGTCCTTGGGTGGCTTTGTCTTAATGGAGTCCTTCCCATTTTATGGGGGCTGCTTTCATCCTGATAGTCCTTATTATGATATTGTTTATAACTCAGCCAGTGGCCTTAGATGGGGGCCTGTATTATGATATGGGGAAATAGATATATATATATATTTAGTGATTATATAATCATTGAATTGTACACTTTCATTCTGTTTTCTTTACTGTATTTATGCTATATATCAATGAATTTACAAATATTAATGCCAACTGATAATAAGGGCTCAGGAAAATAGACATCAGCGTCACTTCTCCTCTTGCCTTCCTGCATAACATCCTTGGATCTCCAGAAATCAGAGCTACAAATCCCACTAGTCCAATTCATATAAATCGTTCTTTGTTAGGCTCTGTTCCACCCCCATATAAACTGGATTCCACCCTTTTTCAAGTCCTAGCTTTCTTATCTGTCAAATGGGTATAATAAAGATCACGTTGGAGAGCTGCTGGGGGAATGGAATGTACAATACACAAAGATTATCCACCCACAGGAGGCACTGGGATCATGCTGGGAAGGTCTGCTTGCGGAGAACTATTAGACAGCCATCTACCTGACTTTAAGTATTCATTGCTCTCAGGATTCCTGCTGATCCCCAGAAGAATCATAGTAGAATCTGTTAGATTCTATTAGAATCTACTAGAAGAATCTCATTTATTTAGTTTCTTATGCCTTCTTGTCCTGCCATGTACCAGCTTCTGATGTCTCTTCCTTTATGGATAATTTTAGGAATACGAGTAATAACTACTGCGATTTATTGAGCAATCACAATTTTTTAGATATTTTACTGGTATTTTATACACATGATGCCATTCAATCTTTTCAAAATAATCTTCATTTTACAGATGAGAAAAATTGAGACTCAGGGAGCTTAACTGACTCTCCTATATTTCATAGCAATTAAATAAGGAAACTGAGATTTGAACCTAAACATACTTATTTCAAAGGACATATTCCTAACCAAAACAATGCAGTATGTAGGGGAAAGGGGTTCCATTAAACCTTGAGACTGAGACCCTTTGGACTAGGTCCCCTAGTATTGCCTGTCATGTTTGCACTCTCTAGTACTTATACACTCCATGGTCATTTTCAATTATCCTTGATCTATATGCTCTCTGCCTTAGTTTTCCATGATTCAGTCTCCCCTTTCTTCATAGCGATCTTATAGAAGAATCCCATAGAATCATTCATAGGTCTACTTTAATTCAAGTTTAATTCATTCAACACATATTTACTGAGCATCCACCATGGACCAGGAAGTGTGCTTGTCATCATGGATACGATATCTCTCCCAGAAGACACAACTCCTGCCCTCACAGAGTTTCTAGTCTAGAGGCAGAAACAGACAACTCTACAGGAAGTTTTAAAGTTTTAAATTTATGATATAGGACAGAATAAGGACCACCGAGAAAGGACACCTTTTAATTCACCACATTTTTGTCTATCTTTCCAAGCCATCACCAATTTGGGAGTTTTCTTGGGTGATCCCTTGATTTTGCAATTTCCCAACTACATGTTATCTAAAAATCTGATAAATGTTGAATTGTAGGCTTCATAATAATCCAATGAGATAAGTATTATTATGATACCCACTTTATAGATGCAGAGACTGAGGCTCAGAGGGATAAGTCTTTCACTTAGCTATAGAAATGGCAGTTAACATAACTATTTGAATTCATATTTGTATTATTCTATAGCCTCTACTGTTAGCCATTAAATTATTTACCATGACTCTGAACAGGTTACTTAAGACTCTCAGGAGCTCTATTTCTACATGCATGAAAATATTCAAAATTTAAACGTTGCTAAGGCCTATCATTCCACAGTTAAAGAGTAGGGACTGGTAAAGCTAAAATAAGGTCACATGCCTTCAATATGGCCAAAATTTGTCCCTTTGGTTTTTCCAAACTCATTGTTCATCACTCTTAGTCTTTCATCTCCATATGCCAACCACACCCAAGTTCTGGCAATTCTTCCAATCCCAGTCTTCATCAGCCTATATGACTTAGATACTTCTGTAAATTTGGTTCCTTCTGCCTCCCACTACTATCCCTCTGGTTTCTCACACTCACAGTTTTGCCTGTTATATGTGCACATACGATTTGATAGGAATGAACCAAAATATTGTGCTTAGGTGAGAAAATCCACTGCATGTATACAGAATGAGAAATACTGAACTTATTTGCAGTTCAGGTGAAACACAAGTAGAGGCTAGATCACATGGTGAAATGGGAGCACTCACAGGAGGCATTAATAGAAGTCTGAGTGTTTCAGAGAAAGGAGGTAAAAGTTCCACTTTGGATAAAACATACTGAAGGGACTGGTGCCAAGTTCTGAACATGAACTTAAAAATTAAAGATTCAAATCAAAACCACATAGAGATACCACCTTACACCAGTTGGAATGGCAAAAATTGACAAGGCAAGGGGTGCCTGGGTGGCTCAGTCGGTTAAGCGGCTACCTTCGGCTCAGGTCATGATCCCAGGGTCCTGGGATCAAGCCCCTTATTGGGCTCCCAGCTCAGCGAGGAGCCTGCTTCTCCCTCTCCCTCTGCCTGCAGCTCTGCCTGCTTGTGCTCTCTCTCTATCTCTCTGTCAAATAAATAAAAAATCTTAAAAAAAAAAAATTGACAAGGCAAGAAACAACAAATCTCGGAGAGGTTGTGGAGAAAGGGGAATCCTCTGACACTGTTGGTGGGAATGCAAGTTGGTACAGCCACTTTGGAAAACAGTGTGGAGGTTCCTCAAAAAATTTAAAATATACCAGCAATTGCACTACTGGGTATTTACCCCAAAGACACAGATGTAGCGAAAAGAAGGGCCACATGTACCCCAATGTTCATAGCAGCAATGCCTGCAATAACCAAACTGTGGAAGGAGCCGAGATGCCCTTCAACAGACAATGGATAAAGAAGATGTGGTCCATATATACAATGGAATATTACTCAGCCATCAGAAAGGATGAATACCCAACATTTGCATCAACATGGATGGAACTGGAGGAGATTATGCTGAGTAAAATATGTCAGGCAGAGAAAGATAATTATCATATGGTTTCACTTATTTGTGGAACATAAGGAATAACATGGAGGACATTAGGAGAAGGAAGGGAAAAATGAAAGGGGAGAAATCGGAGGGGGAGATGAACCATGAGAGACTATGGACTCCAGGAAACAAACTGAGGGTTTCAGAGGGGAGAAGGGTGGGGGGATGGGTTAGCCTGGTGATGGGTATTAAGGAGGGCACGTATTGCATGGAGCACTGGTTGTTATATGCAAACAATGAATCATGGAACACTACATCAAAAACTAATGATGTACTGTATGGTGACTAACATAACATAATAAAAAATTAAAAATAAAGATAAAAGTGAGTTACATTGAGGTGAGTTGACAAATATTGAGCAGGGATCTCAAAAAACATTCAATATATATCCAGTTGGAAAAAGTTTTAAACAAATAATGGTGCTAATATGGTGCCAGAAGTCCGATGAGTGGTAACCTCTGGGATGGCATTAATGGGGAGGGAGCATAAGGAAGCTGAAAGGTGCTAGGAATGCTGTATGGTTTAATCTGGGTGGATGCTTACATAAAAATTCATTAAGCTGCATACTTAATATGTCTTCTTCATTGTATTTCTGATAACCTTCATACACGTAAAAATAGGAATGCCAAGCACTTGGACAAGCATTTGAGGAAATAGGTGGCATCACATCCTGCTGGAGTATGTAAAGTGGAACAACTTTCTGGAGGGCACACTTTAACAATAGATCTCAAGCACCTTAATCAGTTTCTTGGGCCATGCTTTGCAAGTGATTATAGTGACTACAGTGTCTCATTAATTCAAATTAATTGGGTGAAGAGTAGGATATAGCACACTTACATGTACTTATAGTACATTTACAGGGAATGAGATGTGAGTATTCTCCAGGATATTCAGGAAATTCCAACAAAGCTCATATGATCTTGTCTGTCATATTTTTTAATTAGCAAATAGTATTTTGGGGGGATATTTTTAATTAGGAATAGGATTCAGAAGCATAATAGAAACAGCAGGTTGTCTGAAGTAGCTCAATCTTACTGCACTCACATTTGAATTCTTCCTTCATTTAACAAATCTTATCCTTGCCCATGGCAAAAAGCAGTCTGTAGTTCCATTCAAATAATCCAGGATTCCAAATCATAAGGGTCTTTTCAAGGCCTTTGAATTTGGATGCTCCCTTTTTTTCTTTCTTTCTTTTTCTTTTTCCTTTTTTTTTTTGTAATCTAATTGTGAAGTTGGGCAATGCATGGAGGACATTTGACCAGATGGGGGTGTAAGGTGATGAGCAGGTATGGGGCATCTTTTATGCTTGCTTCTTACCGTCTGCAATGAAGTGCTCAGGCACATGCAGAGTCACCTTCACGGTGAGTGGACAGGACATCTGACTGCCACACACCATGGCCAGGATGCAGGAGCTCACAGCAATCAGCGTCAAGGCTGTCTTGTTCACTGGGCTTTTTAGCAAACCTAATAACAAAAATACACACAAAGATACATTAAGTCCATGAGGTGAGAAAATAGGGATAGCATGGAATTTGGGAATCCTGCTCTTTTCCAAATGGGAAGCTGGGAAAAGAAACCGTATTTTCCAACTTCTGTGCTTGCCATGACATCTCAGCAGCCCTTGTTGGGTCTCAACTTAACTCTCTAGAAAATGGGCTTATTACACCCTTCATATAGATGAAAGAAACAAGCTTCATGAAAACTGTGGAAATTCTCCCTCCTGGTCATTCTTGGTAATTATTTAGATGACATTAAACTCTCTACTGGCTTTAGAAGCAAGTAGGAAGAAGTGAGAAGTGTTGAATTCATTGAGCCTAGAGGAATAAGCATGGGCTTTGGAGTTTGACCACCGTGGGTTCAACTTTGAGCTTTAGCCCTCATTGGTTGTGTGACCTGTTTCGTTCTGTGAACCTCAGTTTTCGTACATGTATGATGAGAATAGTAAGAAACAGCTTACAGGTTGTTGTGATGATTACATGGCATAGTGTATACACAACATCTGTCATCTAACTTGGTTTCACAGAATGGTGGAAGCTTATCAGTTCAAATTAATTTCACAGGCTTTTACTGAGCACCTACTATGTAGACACACATAGAGCAGGAACAGAATAGTTTCGGATCTTCAGAAGCTTGCAGGCTAGGGGGCAAAGGCAGGTTTATCCACAGCTAGTTAGAATCCAAGGCAAGTTGTCTTAAGAACTGATAGAGAGGGCACAGGATGGGGAGGGGAGTTTTGCATGGGAAAATTAAAGACAATTTAATGGATGCAGTAGAATGAGTAGATTGGATGTGTGTGGCCAGCAGAGCACTGGGCCAGCAAAGAAATCCTGCGGACTGTGTCCTAAGCCCCCACTGGGTCTCATTCTTTAGCCCTTGTTATTCACATCAACTTTCAAGGTTTTGATTACTATTTTTAGAGCAATGGCTCCCAAATTTCTATCACCCATGAGGCTCTTTTTTTGGGCAAATCTTTATGCCCAAACCTGCCAGACATCTCCCTATGGAAGTCCCAAGGACGTGGCATAAACATGTTTGAAACTGGACACGTTATCTTCTCTTTAAACCTGTGCTGCCCCCTCCACCTCCTCCTCCTGGGCTCCCCAACTTACTGAAAACACCACCATTCACCTAGATGTCCTTCACTCTTCTGTTTTCTTCCTTTATAGCATCTGCACAGCCAGACAGTCCTGTTTCTTCTGTGTCCTTAGCATTTTCACCTCTCTCCCCTCATCTCTTCTATTGTCTGTTTGCTTGTCAAATGAACGAGGTATGGGCACAGCTTCCCATCCCATTCCCTGCTGGAACCCCTCTAGCTGTTTTATAGCATCTGGGCACAGGATGCCATCCACGCTCATCAGCCTGGCATCCGAGGTCTTTCATGGTGGGTCTCTGCACTCATGCCTCCTGGTGGTCTCCCCTCCCTGCCCCAGAGGCAGGCAGAGCTGTCTAACTGCAGGGCCACCCCAGTCAACACTTCATCATGCTAACGTTATCATTGGCATTATTTCTTTTGCATAGAAATCCACTTGTTTCCTTGTCCCTCATCACTCATTGAGATTAACCACAAATGTAGATTCCTCTCTCTCTAAGCAAACAAACAGCCCACATTTGTTGTGTCTCTCAAAATATCCTATTCAAACAGTAGATTCTAGTAACTAGATGGCAAACTCCTTGAGGGCAGGCACCATGTCCTTTGCTTACCATGGTATCCCAATGCCTAGCACAGTGTCTGGGACATGGTAGAATCTCAATAAATGCATCCAAACTTCCAGGGATGAGAGTAACATATCAGTAAGCAGACACAGGTGCTGACCGGTCAAAAAGCATGCCAAACATAAACAAGCAACATTGCCAGGCTGGTGGATCTCAATGGAGCAAGAACCCTATATGGACAGCTGACTTTGGATTTTTTGTATGGATATTTCTTTTTCTTAATAAATAGCGAACTTTTTAAGATTTTATTTATTTATTTGTCAGAGAGAGAGAGCACAAGCAGGGGGAGTGGCAGGCAGAGCAGGCAGAGGGAGAAACAGGCTCCCTGCTAAGCAGGGAGCCTGATGTGGGACTCGACTCCAGGACCCTGGGATCATGACCCGAGCTATCCAGGCATCCCCAAACAGTGAGCTTCTTGAAGGAAGGGATCCCATCTTCACCATCTTTACATTTCTAACTAAGCTCACTGCCTGGAACCTAGAAATTCCTTAATTTAAGAATAGCATCCTGATCTTTATTGCTAGTCCTAGGACAAGGCATAGCTTATGGTAGAGACTATACATCTCTTTGTGGTTGCTGTATTTGTTGAATATTTGTTAAATGGAATAGCAAATAAAATTTAAAAAGTTGGTCCGGGTGTCAGGTGGATTGGAAATCCCCAAGCCTAAAATGACCACCAAAAAATGGGGAACACATTTCCTTTCTCCTCTGGGAACCACAAAAAGCTGTTTCAAACTCTGAAATATAAACAGTTTAGTAACTAAATAACATATGCAAGCTAACATCGAAGTTTTCTCTTAGAAAGGGTATGGACTAGGAGTTGTTGCTTTGTATAAGTCTTTCCTTAAAAAGTCAACATATTACCCCACACCTAGATACTTAACAAAACCCCCACATAGAAGTCAGCAGCAGAGCTGAATTTCCACTCGAGATTCTAAGGAGTCTGTTCTAAGGGGATGAACATGTAAGGATGAGTCCAGCATGAACACATTCTTGGGAAGCTGACCCAGAGAGTGAGATGTGGAAGGTAGAGGCTCCCGGCATTGGGGAGGCGGGTGCCCTGAATGGACACTTGCACCCTTTGGGGTTCCGGGAAGGCATCTCTCAGACTTGGCCCATACAGCAGCAGAAGTGGAATGTGACCAAGACATTCCTTTCACTAACCAGCTACAAGAAACACCATGTAGGCTCCACAGGGTTGGTTTCTGGTTGGGAGAAGAGGCATGAGGGGCAGGCGTGGGATTGCTCACACTATCTCCCTGGACTCACGCTGACCTAGCTGTCCTATGTCCTATGTCATTTATTTTTTTTTTTAAAGATTTTATTTATTTATTTGAGAGAGAGAGAATGAGAGACAGCATGAGAAGGAGGAAAGTCAGAGGGAGAAGCAGACTCCCCGCCAAGCAGGGAACCCGATGCGGGACTCGATCCCGGGACTCCAGGATCATGACCTGAGCCGAAGGCAGTCACTTAACCAACTGAGCCACCCAGGCGCCCTGTCCTATGTCATTTAAACCTTCACAGTCACCGACAGTCTATTAAGAGTCAGTGGGGTAGGGAGTGATGTCACGTTAGTGTATTGCCTCTCAGTTTTCTCATCTGGAAAATAGGAATAAGACAATGCATCCTTTAAGAGCATGGTAAGAGCTAAATGAGACAGCAAATGTCAAATGCCTAGCACAGTTTTTGGCACATGGCAGGCCCTTGGTAAATAAATGACCATTTCCAAGCCAAGTATCAGTATTTATCTAATCATCGATGGCAGAAGCCAGGACTCATTTACTTCTTTGTCCAACAGATTATCAGAATGTATTAGGAATTGAATTATTCTTTAAGGAACTGAAGACAAAAAGAGTGGATAGTAAGGGAGAGTCAGAAGAAGAGGGAAGAAATGGAAGGGAGAATGTGAATGAACAGTGTCCTGGGGTAGCCATTTACTCAGTGAATGCCTGAGTCACCATGGTTGTCTCTGAAGTCCAGGAAGAAGAAAGCATGCAGGCCAAGTCTGCACTTAGGCCAGATGCCTGTGGAGCCGCCCATGGGGCTTGGGGAGTTTCCATGGCAACTAGATCTGGCAGAAACTTCACAGTGGAACTCAAACAGAGGTGACTTAAGAGTTCCTGGCCCAGGGAACTGATCATCAGCATTTAGCTCTGAGTAGAAGCTGTAGACAGCAGCAAGGGAGAAAATATCTCTCTCCAAAAACCTACCTCCTTCTCATCCAGGCTCTGTATTACATTGTAGGACGCAGAGATAGGGAAGAGAACCTCCATTTGCAGAATGCTTACTATGATCCAGGGACTACGCCTAGCACTCACATCTATCCATCTATCCATTCAACCAATTTTGACTGAACATCACCTTTTTCTCCATACTGTTCTAGGAAAAGAGGAAATGACAGTGAACAAAACCAATGTCCTTGAAGCTTACATTTTAGTGGAGAATTACCTCATTTAATTCTTAAGGAACTGTTACTACTATCCCCATTTTACATATGAACAGAGGGACAAAACAACCAAATGACTAAGGTCACCCAACTTGTATGAGGCAGAGGAGAGATTAGAACCAGTTCTTTCCATCCTCTCCCCCATATCATATTACCTTCCACCTCATTCCAGAACAAAGTCCCACAATGGCATCGTGTAGTTGCAGAAGGAGCATGGCCTCTGAAGCTGGACAAGGCTGTGTTCAAGTTCTGGCTTAACCACAACATCTCCATGGGATGCTTGCCAGTTGATCTAACCCTAATAAGACAAAATATTCCCACCTGAAAAATGGCAAGAGTGCTCTTCTTTCAGAGCTGATTGGAGGACAAAAGATAATACATGCAATTGGCCAAAAAAAAAAAAAATCAACAAATGATATCTCAGATCAATAAATGATAGCTCCAGACCACAATATGAGCATCGTCAGATGGCTAGGGTCACAGTTATGCCTGTATCACATCCCGGGTCCTAGCTCCCTCCCTGTCACTTGCAAGAGAGAGAGAGAGAGCTGTGCTGTAGGAATAGAATTACACCTTTTTTCCCTTTCATTTCCCCTCCCTCTTACCCCTCAACTCCTCTCATGGCAACAGAGAATGGCATAAAACGCATTGCTTGAGAAATTTGACTGGAGATAACTCGGCACTGTTGATCCACACACTGCCTATAATTTGGGGTTTGATTGATTCTCAGTTTGGAGATGCCAGGTTGGGAGAAGAAAATCAAACTTAAGCTAAATTTGGAATTGAATCAATCACACTTTACAAT